CAATTATAAAGTTTCTGCACTTGGTTTAAATGTTTGGTGAATACAGGAGGTGGTGGACTTGTATTTTGATAAATGCAGGCGCTGGAAGCTGATATACAAAAGTCTGCCTAGTAATTCGCTTCACTTAGTCGCCAGCAGTCGTCCTCGGTTTCCTCTTGTTTCTCTCTTTCGAATGTCGTAGAGATTCGGCTATACTGTGCACATAAAAACAAAGTCGCAACGCGTATAAAAAAATAAGAAAAAAAAACACGACGCAATTAAGAAGGGAGCATGACGCTAGCGGTCATGCTACGCTGACACCCGCGTAACCAACTTGCTCCTGCTCAGTTCCTGCTTCATGCGAGCGGCGAGCTTCTTCGCGTGGCTCGTGCCGAGCCAACGAAAGTGGGTGTGGTGGAACTTCCAGCGGCACCCCCGGCACCCAGCGGCGCAGCGTCGAAGCGTGGGCTGTGCTGTTCTTGGGTCAAACACATCGGAGAATACGCACACCATCGCAGTGCCCTGCTTTCCGGCAGTTTTATCAGTTTCCAGAGGCGCCCAGGGCCCGTTTGGTCGAAGCGCGGTTAAGCACTAACCGCGGCTAACCGCCGAATTCAGAAACCTCACTCAAACTACGCTCAAACTGCAGGGCCCCTCCACTTCCTCGAGGCAGGCGCGAGGGCCGGCTCTGGCCAATCGCGACGGCGGATCCGTCCTCGCGATTGGCCAGCGCCGGCCCTCGCGCCTTCCTCGAGGAAGTGGAGGGGCCCTTCAGTTTGAGTGTAGTTTGAGTGAGGTTTCTGAATTCGGTGGTAAGTTAGCCGCAGTACCTAGGAGAGCGATTTTCAAATCACGTGACTGGCTGGGTAGTGGTACGGGGAGCCACGCATGGCCCCGTTGCTTCGTTTGACAAAATGGCTGCGACGTGCGTAGCTTAAACGTTCGCGATCGCATTGGTGTTGGTCTTCAGGGCCCCTTTGCTCGAAGCCGGTTAACTTTAACCCCGGTTAAAAATTAACCGCCCTTTTCTACTAGGTACCGACAAGTACCTAGCCAAGTTCGACGAGGGCTGGATGAGCGATAGCTTCGTATTGTGATAGCTGGTGTCACCGACTGGTTGTAGCGAATATAAGTCGCTACCGTGAGAGAAAAAATCCCCAAAAAGGGGGGCCAAAAAACGCGCGCTACCGGGTTCTCGCTACTTAGCGCTGCATACATTTGAGCCGACAAATTTTTTGTTGCTCGTGGTACAGATTTTGGGTAAGGTAAAACTAAATTCACCCTTGTTTGGAAAATTTCTAAATGCTTGGCTGTCTGAATTGAAGACAAGCCTCGTTGAAATTTCGTTCCAAGTTCAAAAGAGGACAACGAAATTCAGCCCAAGAAACGATAAGGAAGAAGTGAGCAGTGAAAGGCGGGAGGTACACCGGAAGCATGTTTGGCCAGCATATAAGAACTGTATATAACACCATCATAAATTGAAAAACCTGCAATTTGGCTCCAGTGAAAATAGGCCTATAGACGCTTTCAGCACGCGCCAGATTGAGCCGCCATAACCGACCTTCTCTTGTCTTACCGAGATGCCCAGCCACTGAAGCGGGCGTTGACGATCCTCCACAAAGGCGTAGGCTGGGGAGAAGGACACAGCTACATCTAAAATGGCAATAACCTCTGCTGCTGTGGTAATGATGAAGTGGAGCGAACGGAATAAGAGGGAACAAAAACTGAAGGTTGGTTATGGCGGCGCCCATGCACAGCTGCCTGAAAGCGTCTATAGGAAGTATTCACAGGCGGCCGTAGCTGTGTGCGCGACTGCTGACCGCGTGCTGATGGCGAGCTTCCACAGTTCTTTCATAACGTGCGTTCCGCACCCTTAAGATTGCCGATCTTAGCAGCCTATTATTTTGGGCTCGTTCTGAGCATGCGCTTAATACAGCACCCACAAATATGGCGCCCAGTGAACTCTCCTTATTGGTAAATTACCCAAGCGTCGAGGAGAACGCTGGAAGTGTAATTCTGTAGTACGCGCGCGCTGGCCTTCCTCTTGTAAAAGATTCGAAGTAAATAATCATAATAAGGCTCTGACGAACGCGCGTGCAAGGCAAAAAGTTATTTTAGAGTTTTTTTGCTTTAGAACAATTACTACTGCAGACAACAGCACGTGCAACGCGTGTAACTACACTTGTAGCATGCACCTCGGTGCTTGGAAAATTTAGAAAAAGGTATATTGGGACGCTGTCTGCTTTCGTATCCTATCAACACCGGGTCGATTGAGTCAAGGCAATCCACTTTCCAAAGACGTTGCCATGCCGACAATTATCGCGTTCATTTAGGCTTAGGAATGGCCAGAATCAAAATATTATCTAAAAAGTGCGGCGAGATCATTGCTCAGGCTTTGCGATTTAGGTGAGGTAGGGCAAAGCGAAAGCCTCCTGCACCATTCATTGTTGACTAACGCGGGCGTGCCCGATATTGCAGCTACGGCATATTGGTGCCGAAGCGGGCGGCGCTCACTCACCGGGGCACCGCCATGTTTCCCCGCCGTCCTTACTCTGCCAGTCACGTGATTTCAAAATTCCTTTCCTGTATACTGTGGCTAACTTTAGCCGCCATTAGCGCTTAACCGCGCTGTGAGCAAACGGGCCTAAGCATGTGTGGACGGCCACGCGCTCCGCTGTTCGCATTTAATTATAGCCCGAGAGTACTGTACCATATCGTGTGAAGAAGCATTCCTTCATAAAGACAAATTATTTTCTTTATGACTTTCTTTTCTAATTTAATTTTAAATAATTTTGCAGGAATGAGGAAAGTTTTTGTATTCTTACAGTATTCTGACTTGTTCACCCTGTTTATTCACCAAAAACGTTTGGCATGTGGATATAACAGAAGCTTTGTTTTCTTACAGAAAAACAGGACTTAAAACGAAAGAAACACACAAGTGTTTCTTTCGTTTTAAGTCAATGTAGATCACCAAGACGCTCAAGTCTTTGATAAAAAAACAGGGCGTTTTGTAAAGTGTTTATTTAAAGAAAAACGACGTTTTTTTGTGTAGAAGTGCTGGGTTGTTTTTTTACCGTTAATACAAGCATCTTTAGACTGTTCATTTACCGAAAAACTGTGTTCTTGACAAATAACATAAGCCCCGTTTTTTAACCGATAAGCTTGTCTACATTTTGATCTAACCACCATTTACTTATTTTGAGCGATATTTTCCGGATATTTTCTGTTATATTACAAACCTTTTTTTAGAGTGTATCGACTTTATAACCTTTGTCGACTGATTCATTTAATATCTGGAGTAGAGACGTTTTCATGGACGATTGCGCTTGTAGACATGTTTTTTTTTTTTTGCACTATAAAAGTCACTGGCAATCATGATTGTTTTAAAGCTGATGCACATCGTGTTTTATTCCATTTGAGAAACTTTTCCAGCAACTCTCAGAATTGTGACACACGGCGAAAATAAATGTGGTAAATTGATCGTTTATGATCGGTGAGCGAAGAAATGCTACTTGTAATTCGAAGGCTATAGAATGCCAGCTCTTTCTCGGATACCTAGCAGGACACCCACCGACTCTCGGTGGAAAGAAGCAGATAAAATGTATATGGACTTATCGCTCTAGTATGTAAAAAGTGTGCTTAAACCACCTCTAGTGTACTCGAGAATATGTCCATTGTACGGAATGGTACCTATATCCTGACTTATCTAAGTACCGCCATGCTTTGATCGTGCCGCGGGCGCTTTCATTGGATGCCGGCGACGCGTCGCTATTTTCGGCTCATGACGCATCCCACATCCAAACGCGTAGGCTCGTATTGGTCTGCTCTGGCTGCCGGTAACGCGCCGCCGTCTGCGAGCACGCTCCAATTGATATATTGTAGATTCCGGCGCCGCGCCGCCGTAACAAACTAAAATGGCGACGACGCTTCTCCATTTTTGGCTCAAGTGCGTCCCAGCATGCACTAGATTGACGTTTGTTTTATAAAATCCATCCAGCGTATTATGTGTCAGGTGTGCGAAGCGCGTATATATAAGTTGGCGTGCGTCTCTTCTGTCCGTCCGGTAAGGTATAGGTGCGTGACTTCTGCAGCAAAGTACGGCGGAAAAAGTTAATCAATGTCCTGTGTAATAATAAAACTGCGTAAATAATAAACATATTATATTCATAGCAGGAAGGAATACCGGGTGCTTCTGCGTGCATAGGGTATAAATAAACCAATAAACTGAATGTACTAAAACGTTTTTTTTTTAGAAAGCTGTGTTTACGTGGCTTATTTTTTATACTTATACGCTATGATTGACGCTGACAGTCACACACCTGATTGACGCTCATAGTCACACATTCCACCACACTAGGCGGGATTAGCTAGTCCCGTTTCGTGTATTCGTCTCAAAAAAGCTTTTTGCATTTTTTGCTCCATGCTGCGCAGTTTGTACGTAGCGGGGTCAAAAAAACGCTTATTCTCTTTTTACTGACTTTAGATAAGAAACGGAGAGTATTTTTTCTATTAATTTATTTTCTGAAACCTGCACCTAAGGCATTTGAGTAGAATACATGCTTCATCTACAGACAACTTTGCGAAAATACTTTTCTTTGTTGCTATCATAATGTTTTTACTGTTAAATATAATATTAATATTTATATCCTCTCGAGAAATATTTATGTATACAAATCTGGCTCACTAAAACAAATTCGGTTCGTTCTGAGGACCAGACTTAGCGTGCATTAAAAATGATCTTGTAAAAACACATAATCTAATTGCTATCTTTATTGCATTCTCTTGGTGCATTTTTTTTAATATTCGCCATGAAAAAGCAAAATATAAAAAGGCTCACAAAAATATTTTTTTAATGATCGTCCTTTTTTTTCTCAACTTGAAATCCGGACATTTTTGGAATTCAACCCTCCATGTCTTTCAGGAAGTACAATGATTCCAAAGGTATGGCATTCAATTTCAGCGCATTAACAACAACATCACTGGGTGATATTTTCTTTTATTTAATTATTGATGGTCTCGTGTTAAAGGAACGTCCCCCCGGACACCAGGACGGCCGATCCTACCATGTACGTGCTCCTCGGGCCGCACATAAAAACAATCGTTTCAGGCATTTCTAGCGGTTTCGCGACCCGCTTCATTGGAATCTCCTCAATTATGCATTTTCTAACTTCCTCGGGGGTGCCCTGTGTCATGGGTGTGTCCGTGAAACCAGGGAGAATAGTGTTGACGCGAATCTCCTTGAGTGCAACTTCCAGCGCCACAGATTTGGTAAAGGAGATGACGGCGCCCTTCGAAGCCGAGTAAGCACTCAGGTACCGGCGACCGCCCTTGCCAGATACGCTGGCAATGTTTAAAATGGTCCCGCCTGTGGCGTTTTCATTCTTGAGCATCGATTTCACAGCTGCTTGAGTGACAAGGTAAGTGCCCTGTAATTAAAGAATAATACGTTAGTTGTTTTACGACTGTCAACATAAAAAAATAATAAATACCTCGTTTCACATTGAGTACGAGCGAATTCTAAGCTACAAGCACGAGCATGGTGACCTGAATGAGGCTTCATCATCACGAGGGCGCATGCTCGATATTGACACTTTGAAAGCCCGGAGTTCGCTATCGAACTGCTACTACGCTCATAGTCAAAAAAAAAAAAAATGTGTCCCGTCGGTAAATGACTTGTTCGTTCTCTCCACCAAAAAGTTCACAACACGAGCATCAGTAAAAATAAAATAAAATTTTAGTTTACGTATACTCCAAGTGGGATTGATTAAAAGTTATAAAAAAAAACTCTCAAGAAAGAATTCCTCCTTCACCAGTCGCTGTTTGTAAAACGTGAACGAGAACTTAAAAACAGCACAGTACTTTTTGAACAAAATATAAAAATCCCTGTACCGATGATTTTCAATAAACTACCACTTTAAATGCTTTGCTAGTGTACCCATTCAGGTTTTGAGGAAAAGGGGAAACCTCCGATTATAATAATATTAACCACCAAAGAATATCGAAGCTTGCCCATTTTCAAACTGTTAAATACTAGTTTGGTGGGCTAGGCTGACGAATGCAGTCCTGCTATTCAAGTCCACAGAGCGCAGCATAATCTGCGTGTTGGTACCAGTGCCATCTTCTTCTCCAGGGCTGAACGAGCAAGGAATGAAAACAAAATTTAAGTATTGAAGCCTCTTCCTTTTCTTTCATTAGTACAATAATTAGACGTATTGTCCATGCAAAATAAAATAACACCCGTGATTTGTTTTTTTTTTCTAAATATTTTTTGCCTGCGTTATTTAGTTGAAGGCTAATTTTCAAATATTTAACTGGTCTTTGTCATTGTAAAGCTGCTGCTAGCTTGCATATTGTGATAATAACACATGTGGCATCAAGTGTCGGACCACTCTCGACCGCTGGGAGAAGCGAGGAATCGCCACAGATTCCCATCTATCCCACGTTACCACCAGATTCAAAACAGACGTCTAGATTTTTTTCTCGTGGTCTGCCATTTCCCAAAGCAACTTTGACTCCAGAACAAGCTTTCCAAAACGCAACCTTAGTTTCATAAGCTTAATTTCAAAACGCATCTGGTGTTGCGTCTAAAAGAAGAGAAATTATGTTAAAGCAGGAAATGGTATTTAAGGAATCCTCAATCCCAAAATTTTGTCTTTCCGTCTGTGCATTCCCGCGAAATTTAGTGGCAAATTTGAATTGGTGTTTAGTTAACAGGATGTCAATTTATACCACATGACCTGACGTCACGTGATCTATACACCAATTACGTTTTTCCGCCCAATATCGAAACGAAAATATATGTCACGTTAGCCAATGACACGGGGCACCTATTTTCTTGCCGATATCTGGCGAGGAAACGTAACTGATGTATAGATAACGGGTAGGACACTTCTCCTATACACCTATTACGTTTCACAGCTAAGTTTAGCGGAAACATTTACGTAACCTGACCTCACGTCACAGGACGTATGTATGGATCCACCCTCCCTTTCAATTTACGAGAAATTTTATGTCACCTGAACTTAAATCACGTGATCTATCCACCAATTCACTTTTCCTGTTAAGTGTAAAGAAAACTTTATTGTAATGCGTCCCGACGCCATAAAAGCTATACAAAAACTTACTTTAACCGGTAAATTTAGCCGAAAATTGACTTCAAGTGACCTGATATCACTTACCTATACAACATTTAAGTTTTCCTGCTATATTTGGCGAGGATATCAATTCACGTGACATAAACACTTTCAGTTTTCGCGCTAACTGTAGTGGAGAATTTAAAGGCTTCCACCCTAACTGCACCTGACCTAAACATCAATTAAAGTATCTAATTAAATCTACTTAAAAAATTTATGTCACTCGACTTATTCGCGGCGAGAAGTTTTTGTGTCTTCACCAAGCGGAAGCCCTGATCCAACCCAAAGTGGGGACTCTCTCGACGCCGCCGCTGCTTCTAAATTGTGGATGGGTCTTCATTCAGGCTCGCTGTCTCGCTAGTAACATTTCATTTCGCTTTTTTTTTTTTTTCTTTTTTTTTTTTTAAAGCGGAAGCTTTGCGGGTGATACTTTGCAGGGATTTTGAGGTCGTGGGCTGTCGTCGCCGGAAAACCTCTTCTCCCCTCTTGGCGCGCAGAGGTGCAAGTCGGTACTTATCGTTGGCCTGCCGCGCGGGGAGACCGAGGGGGGCAGTCTTAGCGTCCCGCCAAGAATGGCACGACGAAGGGAGAACCTTTTTGTCGTCTGTTTCAAACAGCTTTTTTCCAAACATTCCTCGCGTTATGCGAAATTCTACTTTGGAAGTATCCCGTTGCAAGGCGTAATGTTGGATGATTTTAGAAGCTTCCACCGTGCTTACACACTTCCCGGATAACAATGATAATTGTTATCCTGGAAGCTTCGATCCTGATGTACGCGACGGCACCATTTCATTCGCATTTCACGACCGTACTACAGCTATCACTTTCGTTTCTTTTTCTTCGTAGCCCTTTATTTTTCTCTTCGCATTTGACATAGACGGTTACTAATTCTTTGTCTGGCAGGTCTTGATCCTAGGATTTAATGGTGCTAATTTGAGTATTCTTTCTTTTTTGTCATGGGCACAGCTTGTTGAAGCTGATCCTATTTAGCTCACTTATGTTTTAAATTTACACATAGTTTTCACTCTTTTCTTTATAGTTTTAAAAAAACTTTGTTGGAGAGCAATCAACAGCTCCATTGCGATCCTGGTTTCCACCTTTAAGATATAAATACTAGTAACTCTATTCATATTGTGGCCACTTAAAAAAATATGTAAACGAAAAAAACAATTTATACATCCTCGATGGAAAACATGATGTCATTAAAGAAATTTACAACGAAAAATAACATTTTTATAGCCATTTAATTACGGCGCGAGAAAGTTTTTTTCAAGCGAGGTGTGACGGTCCTTCTTTCCACTTTTCTCTCTTCGCCTGTGCGCTCCGCGTGGAGGAAAAATAAGCCGCTTGTATTGACTTTGCCGGTCGGCCGAAAAACGTACGCAAGCCTCGTGCGACTTCCTCTCATCTTCAAGCACGCTGTGTTCTTGGATTTCTGTGCTTGTGGTGGCAGCAGCGATAGTATGCGTCTTTTACATTGGATCCGGATTTGAAACGTAAATTTCTCGACCGCCTCAAGCAACTAGTGCTTTGACCCTACGAGGCGGCCACATTATGTTCGGCGCACCGAGTGCTTCACTCACACGGGGATAGACGGCGCCCAAGTATGGGGTCCCTCCCAAACCGACCGCTCCGGTTGTTTCTCCCAGCGATGGTCCCGCATTCCCTCGCTTGCCGCTTCTTCTTGTACCTCACCGCCGCCATGCCGCCACCAAGTCGCAAGAGTTTGTAAATCTGTGTTCTCTTCCTTCTTCTTCGAATTAAGGCTCACCTAGCTCCGAACACGATCTGGTCGCTCGTTTCCCGTAGGAAGAACGTCCAGAGTCAGCACCTAAATGTGTTTCTTCCGCCGTGTCTTAGAGTAAGCAACCACTAAATCACAGAAACTAATCCAGTATAAGCTGCTGTGCAATATTCACGTTTTTCGTCGTAGATACCAGATCCATGAATTCGCGTGCGGTAAACACTTCGTGCTATAAAAGAGCCTAATCAAATGCAACTAAATTTGGTTATGCCCTGATTTACCATTGGTTTAACGACGAAAACTATGGCGCTCACTTTTGTACAAAAATACGATAATTTTAAAACTTAATGGAAATAATATATCTACATTCTGTAACATAGCGCATGTTGGATGTTCATTTTATAACTTTTAAAAGCTTTTTCGGTAGGTCATATGATATGGTTAGGAATCCCGATAAGTCCGCTACGTTAGTATAAGCCCGATGCGTAAGACGCTTTATGAAAGTTCATCGAAACAAATTAAATTAATGCCAATAAAAAACCTCTAGAGAAGACAGTGGCTCGTTATACTCACATATAGATTCACATTGGGCTTCAGTTATCGGCTTCAGTTACATTTGTTACGAAGGATGGTGTATGGACGATTCCAGCACTCTTGATAACAATGTGGACGGTCCCGTATATTTCCTCAACTTTTTGAAAAAGGTGTGTTACATTTTCCCGGACTGACACATCGGTGTGAATTGCCGTGTGGTTCTGTCCTGCGAAAAAAAAGGTAGGAGTGCAAGCGTCAATAATTTGTCAACTTAGAACCCCATATATTTTTTGTGCCAGCATCAATAAAAACACTCAAAAGGGCATTGAAGTAAAACATGTTTAAAATGCTTAATAGTTTTTCTTTAGTTTGTTACTAAAAATATTGTTTAGCATTATTTACGCTGTTACACGCATTGTAGTGTGGGTAGCCCTGCTCTAAGCCCCGTCCGAAGCTTTGAAAGCTAAGTATATTTTCTCGGCTCTCATTGCTTAGAGAGAAGATTGACGTGTGAAATGTTCGCTGCAAAATGGTTTCTCCGTGCCGTGATAGTATTTATAGAGACACTATATGTATGTTTCAGAAGCAAATATTCTAGATAGAGTCAGTGTTTTAAAAAAATATACTGAGATTGCCTTGCCGCTTCAATTTCAAGCGATAACAAACAAGACTGCGTTTACGGCGTACTCAATGAACGTAGCTTGTTAAGCACGCTTATGTTTAAGAGGACGAGTCAGTGCGTTCAACAATGTTCTTAGATGAAAATCTCTTCAACCGACGCAGTTTGCAACAAACAACTGTCGCAAGTACGCGCCTTCGTAAGCGCTGTGGGGGTGCTTGGGTTCGTAGTAAGAGTTGTTTAAGCATAGCGTCGCACGCCTTCAGAAGAGCGGTGCGGATAGTTGATTTGGTTCATAGCGGGAGTGGCCTAAATCTAGAGTACCACGTCAGCTATGTTGGTTGATCTGGTTTGATTTGTTCCTTTCTGCGCGTTAGTGCTGAATATTATGTTGGTTCCTGTTAAAACGGCCCCGCTGCATTGTGAATTGTGAAACAGTTGTGAGTGCAACCATGGTTTAATGCCGAGAAGATTCTTACCTGCACAGGTAAGGATTCGCTAGCCATTTGTCTGAAGAAAACAGTGCGTTAATTTGCCTACGTTCTAATTCTTTCCTCTTCCAAAAGCAAGCAGCTATCAAGATTTACTGTGCACCTAGCCTACCTAAACGAATATTTTTAAGTCGCGTTTTAACTCTGCGTCACGGCGCTCGCCCACCTTGCTGGCGAATGCCATGCGAAAAAAAATAATAAGAACAGTAAAACTAGAAGGACAACATATTTATTTTGTTGATTTTTTTAGTCCTCGGCCGCTTAAAAGTTACTACCGCAAATCGATAGACGCCGGCAGATGCTTGTATTGGACCGCGACTCGTGCATGATGGAACGCCGGAACACCGCTTTCATAATCACGTGTTCTGAGCTTTGCAGAAATTTTTAGGCGGCGGATGAATAGCGGACGGACGGAAGCGACAACGGACGCAGACGCGCAGCTATCGTATCCGCGTCTAAAAAGGTGTCCAAACAGGACACTACAAAACGCACGACTCCGACAAATCGTGAAAATTGAAGCGGGCGCGAAGCGGGCGCGTCCGCTTCAATTTTCACGATTTGTCGGAGTCGTGCGTTTTGTAATGTCCTGTTCGGACACCCCTTAATGGGTTCGGCAGACGAGGATAGACGGTGGCGAAATAGCGGACGATGCCAGTGGCTGCCGCTCGCCTGTTCGCAGGACTAGCAAGCGCTGTGTCAGACCCCAGACTATGGTGCCTGGAACGCGTCTCCGACGGGTGTGGTCGTCGAAGAAAGTAGTCCTTCAATTTCCGCCTGATGACGCCACTGATGTGGCATGCTGTCGCCAGTCGCAATCCTGGCGGCGTCCTAGCAGCCTGGGCGTATGTGGCAGACGCCTGTCCTCCTACATGTGCGCCACTCTCCGGCATGGCAGTCCACGGAAACTTAACCAGCCAGAAATTGGTACTCCGTGACGACAGCGACATTCGTGTTCGGTGGTTGTGCTACTCCCACTTTCTCGTTAGCATTTCTACGAGAAACCGTCAGGATCGCGACATGTAACATCATAGCACTTCGGCTTCTTTGACAACATTCGTTGCCACTTCTGGACCCATTTTGATGTACTAGCAGCATAGGACCCTAAACACACTAGTCAAAGACGCGCTCCAGGCGTCATACCCAGACTAAAGCACCGGATGTCGCGAAAGGAAGACACTGTACTTCTTAGGATGCTCAGCGGATCACCCAAGTCAATCTAGTAGTAATGAGCGGTGAATTTGATCTGTGGGCTGGCCTAAGAGCGTGCCATAACCTCCAACTAAATGGCGTCTAACAACGTAAATATTTCCAAAAGGTTTGTGGAAAAATTCACAAAAACAATATTAGGCTTATACTTTCGTTTTCTACTTCAATATTTTTTAATTAGTTTGCTAATTACGTCTCAACAAAAAAGGAAATCCGACTGAACGCCACGGAGTGTTTCGGCTGCCGACGATGTAGATGCTTGAGGCGGCGCCATGTTTGTTGGCGCCCAGAGAAGCAGAATCAGCGAGCGCGCGCAAACGTGTTTTTTTTACCGGCGCGGGAACCCGCAGCGCCGTGGAGTGGCGTTCCTTGAGACTAGCGCGCGCGCCAGGCAAGGCGGTTTTATTCTCCGCTGGACATTTATGATTTTATAATCACATGACATTAAAAAAGCGGATAAACTAAATTATTCATTGAAATCCTACGTTATTCTGAAAGCGATTGTAGCCGTGCTCTTTGTATCATGTTATTAGCCCCGGATTACGTCATATTCAATTGCACTTTGAATATCTCAATATTCGAATGATCTTACGAATACAAAAATATACCCATAAAACAACCGATAGCAAAAGCTAGCTTTTTAATCTTCTGTGAATCTTTTTTTTTCTTGGTTCATCTGACGATGCTGAAATATTGATGTTGCTACATTAGTTAATTAATAAAAAGTTAGCCAGTGAGGCTTTATCTTTAATTTTAAGAAATAAAATTAAGGAGCGCGAAAAACTGAGACCGCTTAGTGCAAAATCGTTGAATTAAAAAGAAGGATCGTTCAATTGCGGGGGGGGGGGGGGGGGGGGGGGGCTCTAAAACGTGGACAAATATACGCTACATATCGCCAGATTTTTTCATCTAAGCAAAAAAACTTTGGAAGTTTTTGTTAAGCAGGTCATGTCATCGTTTAGAGAAATATCGTTTTCATCAATATTTGATGTCATTGCATTCGAATATGCCATGTGAGCATGCCACATTTCAAAAGTCAAAAATATTTGGTACAAAATAAATCATTATCTTTGCACTACCTCATTCATTGTCCTCTGTCGTAGGTCCGATTAACCTGAACCCCTATTATATTTAAGACTGTGTATGGATGACGCAAACCTAGACAAGTGACGGTTCTCCACGAGCGCGTGAGTAAATTACTGTCTTTATAATACATGATCCAATATGTAATTACAGACGGTCATGATTCTTTTTTTATAATTATTGCAAAGCGCCATGTGCAAATGTGATTATCGTCAATTTAATCACGCGATGTTTTTTATAAATCTAATATTTGTCTTTGAGAGTACAGCTTGCGTTTTAAATAAGATAGCTGTACTTTAAAACCAATTCTTAAAAAAAAAGAAACATAAAAAGTAACATTGGCCGGCGCGGGAAAACACACTTTGCAATAAAATAGCGGACTTCAACTCACCTTTTAGAAGACTGAGGGTTTCATTTGCTTTTGCGTCATTGATGTCGGCTATGACAACTTTAGCACCTTCTCGGTCCAGTACCTGGCAGACACTCCGTCCTATTCCGCTGGCTCCACCAGTGACAATTGCCACCTTACCAACCAAAAGTGGTGCCTTCAGCTTCTTGACAGCCTCCACTTCTTTCACCAGTTCAGCTTTACTTATTTCTTCTGCGTTGAACGCGTTAATAAAGCAACACAAAAATAAACACACAAGCTTACGGCTAAAAAGGGGGACGTGGAGCATGTTAGATACTGAAGAATTAAGAAGAAAAGAGGCAGAGATCTATAAAACGGCAGCCAAGTAGTCGACCACTTAAAACTGATCAGCATTTATATACGGCGAAGAATCGCCAGGCACCATCCACTATCTATAAAGGTCTCACTGAAGTTCACCATTTGCAATGCCTTTGTTAGCTAGCTTTGACAAAAAGAAGCAGCTGGTGGAGAGCAGCTGGCGTTGAGCTCCGCCACTGTAAGGTCAGAAGAGCAATTCGCTACCTTCCAGCGTGGGCTTACAGATATTTGCAATGTTCGTACCCAAGACGTCACGGCTGATTTTGCGTTATCTTGAATACGTAGTCAATACTGGGGCTATCCTAATGTTGATGTGCCAATAGAAGAAGGCAAGCTAGGATTTGTGGATTATTTTTTGCTTTACATTTTTTTTTTTACTTTACAAGTACTTACGCTGGCCACGCCCATACCATTTGATGGGAAATTCGTTCGTAGCTAGTAAGGCCCTCCAGATAGAAAAACTCTGAAAATGTACATTATTGCTGGAGTTTCTTTGGAAATACTTGCTTCAGGATGTTGACCTATAAATCTTGCGGTTGCTGCGAAGATTTTCTGAAAAAGCATCAAAGTCTACTTTTTTTTCTTTGTTTTTCTTATGGGACTGTGTTACGGTTGTTTCCACGAGAGATCGAACCTGCAGGTCCACTCAACACTTTTATTTGTTCTGATTTTTTTTATATCTGATGTGGACACAAATGAATCGCACGAAACTGAACCTTTTTCTTTTTTTTTTTCAAAACGCGTCTTTTTTTACGAGAAAACAAAAATGTTTCCAGAATGGGCGACGGCCCTCCTCCCACTGCGGACTGCATTAGTTGCCAACTTTGCTGTCTTAGGGAAGGCAGGCAAGGAGTGGTACACCAAAAATGTTTGCTGTTGTATGTAACACTACAAAGTTTAAGTCAATTGCGAGCCACTATTATGTGCTTTATAAAATATATATATATATATATATATAAAAAAAATTCATAACTTTAGACCAGGTGCAACAAATACGCTAAATTTCAGGACTTCTACCTCAATATGTATGGCATTATCGAGTTTGAAAACTACACATACTATAGGCCAGGGCACGTAAAGTGTTAATAAAAAATATGAACCTCCAATAAAAATATTGTCATTAAAAAGACTTGAAAAAACACATTTTAAAAAAAAATACCGATATTGAAAAACGAAATAAAAAACCCGATCTTGATTTTGATAAAGGTCTGGGATGCAACTCGATTTAGGCCAGGCAAGAAGAACCTACAAAGACATGTCGCACAATTTGCTTGCTACAGAAGTTCTAATCGGTAAAAGTGGCGGTTGCCACTTTGGCTATCGGGCGCTTATGCTAGAGCGAAGCCACGGAGGAGGTTTACGTTTGCCACGCTGTGTATACGTGGTTCGCGGTCGCAGTCGCTGTCTGGAGCTGGTAGGATATATCAGCTCAAGTTTACCGCGGGGCAAACGTACAACACCCCCTTCGCTCCGCTGTAACATATGCGCCCCGCACCCTTGTACCCGAGCCGTCGTGCATTTATTCTCTACAGTTCTAATAGACGCGCCTCTATGAGTCTTTAGTCTAACTCCGGCACGAACAGTTGTCCATGTGCTTCTTTCCCTGCGTCTAAAAACGCAACAACGACCTAAATATGACCGCTCGTCAACGCTTCGCCATGAAGAATATTTGAAGAATCCGCAACTCTCAGCTCATGAAGATGGATTAGTGCCACAGTCAGCTAGACTCTGTTAGAGTGCGCTGTGGCAGAATTGGTGTCGGCGCGCCAGTGATGTCATCTGGATCAGGCACGTAGACAGAAAGGGGGGGGGGGGGGGGGGGCGGGCCCTGTGCCCCCCCCCCCTCGCCCCTTGAAATCTTTCGTTTTGCTGGGGCCTCCTCTCCCCCTCCCCCTCATACAGTATTTTGTCATGGGCACCCACCCCGCCCCCGCGAAACAAAATTCTGGCTACGTACCTGATCTGGACATTTGTGTCTTTGTGCGTGTATGCCCAGAAAAGGCACAGAGGCAGACCTTTACTGCACGTGGACTTTGACTCTGCCTGGTCGTGGCCAATGGTGTTGGTCGTCAGCAGGGGAACTCCTCGGTCGCAACAAGACAACAGCATTGCGAAACCCTCAAGCTTCAGTTGGTTTGGCGGCATAGACAAAGCCACGGGAGAAGGGACAGACATCGCCGTTTGGCACTCAATGCACGGATCACATAGCTCACTCAGAGTTTTTTGCGGCGATTACCTCCGCGTTCAAAAGAAGACGATGCCTTCCAACAGAAATTTTCATAGTGTCAAGCTTCTAGATGTAGAATTACTGCGGATGCTGCATACTACCATGATCGGGTAATTTGCAGGATACAGACCAGGTCTACCAGCACTGCTTTAGGCACCTGAAGGCGCTCCTATCCTCATCTGCCGGCACACCCGATGAAACATACGAGACATTTCTTTAGGAGGAAGCAGTCAATGACCTGTTCAGGTAAGTCCAACTTTCCAAAGTTTCTCCGCTGAAGCCATTCCATTTGGAAAGGCCTCAGAAAATGCAATGTGTAAAGAAAACAGGCAGAGATTGAAAAGGAAGTGTTGACAAAAATACGCTCATGTTTAAGTATAGGGGATACTTAAGCTTGCGCGTATTTTTGTCAATACGTTCTTTTCAGCCTCTGCCTCTTTTCTCTCCTCATTAGATTTTTGTGTGCCGTTTTCGAATGAAAAATGCTGGCTTCAACAGACAAACTCTGGAAAGTTGGACGTACCTGGTCAGGTCATTGACAGCTTCTTCTTACTGAAGAAATGTCTCGTCGATTTCTTCAGGTGTGTCGGCAGATAAGGATATTAGCTCTTCTTCTGCCTGAAAAAATGTCGCGTTGGTTTCATCAGGTCTGCCGATAGGTGAGGATAGGAGCACCTTCAGACGCCCAAAGCAGTACTGGCAGACCTGGTCTGTATCCTGTAAATTACCAGATCCTGGTAGCAATCAGCTTCCGTAGTGATTCAACATCTAGAAGCTTGACACTGTGAAACTTTTTGTTGGAAGGTATCTCCTTCTTGTGAACGCGGAAGTGGTCGGCGCAAAAAACTCTGAGGGAGCTACGAGCCGCGTGCATTGCGTGCACAACGGCGACGTCTGTCGCTTCTCCAGTTGCTTCGTCCACGCCGCCAAACCAAATGATGCACGAAGGTTTCGCAGTGCTGTTCCAACCGAGGAGTTCATCCGCTGACGACCAACGCAGTGGCCACGAACCAAGCAGAGTTAAAGTTCCCGTGCAGTGAAGCTCTGCATCTGTGCCTTTCCTGAGCATACACGCAGAAACACACAAATGTCTATATAACTTCACTCACGTGCCGACACCAACGCATTCGAAAAGAGTCTAGCTGAGCTGTCGCAGTAATCCACCTTGATGCGCTAAGAGTTGTGGATTCTCCAAATATTCTTCAATTGGAAGCGTTGACAAGCCGTCATATTTAGGTCGTGCATGGACAACTGTTCGTGCCGGAGTTATACTAAAGACTGATAGAGGCGCGTCTATTAGAATTGTAGAGAAGAAAAGGCACGACGCCTCGGGTACAAGTATACGGGGCGGTTAAGTTACGGTGGAGCAAAGGGGGATGTGTAGGTTTGCCCCGCGGTAAACGTGAGCTCAAATATCTTACCAGCGCCTGACAGCGACAGTGACTGCGAACCACGTATACTGCGTGGCAAACGTAAATAAACCTTCTTCTCGGCTTCGCCGTAACATAAGCGCCCCTAGCCTTGTACCGGAGGCGTCGTTCTTTCATGCCCTCCAGTTTTAATAAACGATACATGCGAAGTCCAAGCGCAATCAAGGCGCGTAAACTTTCATGAGTGCCTGTACAACCACAAGAAACAACAACAAAAAAAATCGGGAAAGATATTTTTTTATTAGAGCAAGCTATAACACATGAATTTCTTATTTGTGGGAAAAGACGTTACTTTTTCCTAAAAGAAAAAGCAAAAAGCAAAAAAAAAAAAATATGTATACCAGTCGCGAGTTCCGAAAAACACCGTAGTCAAGGCGCTTCGCAACCGCCACTTTGACCGCTTAGATCTTTTGAACCAAGCAAATGGTGTGACATATTTTTATACGTTCTTTTTCACTGGCCTAAGGAGAGTTATACACCAGAGATTTAATAAAATTGAGGCCGTTTTTTTTTATTTTGAGCAATTGTTTAAAAGTGTGCTTTTTCAAAATAATCTTTTCTCTGTTTATATTTTGATCGGAAGTTTTATATTCTTCGGGAATAATTTAGATTCCCTGGCCGATACTATGCATATTTGTTTAACCTGTTATTGCCATATATATTGAGGTAGACGGCCTGACAGTTAGTGCATTTGTTTCACCCGGTTTACAGTTACGAATATTTTAAATATTTGTTTAGTTCATGAGGTACATAATAGTTGTATGCAGTTGACTTAAACTTTGGTGTGTTACATGAAACAAAAAAAGTGTTGGCGTACCACTCTTTGCCTCCCTTGGCAAAGAGGTGGCAAGTAATGCAGTCCGCGGTGGGAGCAGGGCTGTCGCACGATCTCGAAACATTTTTAGTTCACGTAGTGAACTAAAAATGTTTCGACGCGTTTTTGAGAAAAAAGACGCGTTTTTGAGAAAAAACGTTCAGTTTCGAGCGATTTACTTCTGTGTACATCACATATAAAAAAAAAGATAAAAATGTTGAGTGACCTACATGTTCGATCTCTCGTGGACTCACCCACAAGTTGAAACAATTTTTAAATCCAATCGCTATCTTAAGTTATTCAGTAATATTTAAAATGAGCGCACACGAAAGTCATTTTTATAAAAATTGACTAACCGTTTTTAACCTTCTGTTTTTAACCTGTATTGTTTTTGATGTTTTGAACCTGTATTGCAGTAAGTAATGGTAATGGTATCTGTTCAGAGGCAGCAGGAAATGCTAAGCCATTATTGGATGGCAATTGGGTAACTTAGCTCATAGTGGGCTGGCTTCCCCAATAGTCACATAGCTGCACAGTATTCTTAATGTTACCCAGGCTGTGACCAATATTGATAAATATTGTTATAATCTGGGTGTAGTTGTCCAATATTATGCAATATATGCCAATATTAGTAAATATAAGGACAATCATAAAGTAGCTGGACAATATTATCCTGAATGTGCACAGCTTTGGTAAATATTCGGACAATCTTTATATAGCAGGACAATAATACCAATAATACCAAGATTACCAAGTATGTGTCCAATGTCGGTAACTATTAAAATAATTATGGTAAAGCTGTCAAATATTATCCAATTTGTCCCTGGGATTGGTAAATATTGCTGCGATCTTGGTACCGCTGGACAATATACAATTTATCCAGTATGTGCATATTATTGGTGAATATTGGAACATTATTGGTATAGCTAGACAATATTATCAATATTAAACACTATGTGCTCAATACCGGTAAATACAGGGATAATCATGATACAGCTCATCAATACTACACAGCATGTGAAAAATATTTGTAACTAGTGGGACACTCTTGTTATGGACCTTTCAAGCGGCAGTCTCGAACGAAGCGATTAACAGCGTGCGTCTCAGGTTTTGAGAGTGTACGTCGGTGTTGCCATAATGCACCGTGCTGTGGGTTCTCTCATCAGTGGGCTGTAGATCTCTGCGTAGGCGCCATTCCGGATGGTGAGAATGGCTAAACTTATGCAATTAATTTTTTTTTTTTTTATGACGAATAGAAGCTTTTCCGTTTTCTAAAGAAAGCATTGTACAGTTTCTGGGGTCCAAAGCAATTGAAAGCTATTTTTGCTGAGTCCGCGTGCGAGAGAACGAATGCAACAGGAAGGTTTATTTAATTTGATGCTGATTTTTTTACGACGCCATACACTGAGTCGTTTCAATCGACAAGGTTCTTAACGGTCAAAAATATTTGACCACACAAGATGGCCGAAAGCCGTGCGTATTCCCCGCTCACAACATAGATTTCAACAGTGTCATCAATTAAACAACCTATATTGTATGTACCCCACAGTGCCACGTCATCCTAGAATGATTTGTTTGAGAAATGTTTCAAGTACCGCAGCACATTCAATACAGAGTGTAGACGACAGGCATTTCATTATGATCGGAAGGAATCCAGCTTGTTTTAGGGCAAGTTTTCAAGAGAGCTGCTTTTTTGCGAAGCATCAAAACAAAACAATGCATTTGTCTGTCCCGTCCCTATATCTCGGAGCCAATCGAGTATTTTTTGCGAAAACCCGAAACATAGCCGGAAAAGCTGACATTGCACTGTTTTCTTAGTCACCGATGCATTCGTGTCTCGAAAGTCGCGTGCCAGGCTATCCTAATGAACTGGTATCTACGCTTAATATAAATAACAGATATCCGCGGGAATTGTGGGGTAATCTTTCGGGTGTAACGTAATATACAAAAGCGGGGCTGTTTGAAGCAGCCTTAAATTACCGCGCCTCTGTAGCTGACCGGGCTCAAAGACTAGCGGTAACAAGAGCCTATCTACAAAATCTTTCTGCTTATAGTCAATAATGTCATAAACATATAGGCATGCTATAGTCACTGCATCTGGATCACAGTGCTCGTGGTCCAGTGGTTCGGACTGACCCACCCACGCTGTAGGTGAAGCCGGTAGTTATAAAGGAGGGGTCTCACACTCATTTGGACGTATAGGCGGAAGATAGCCCACCCACAAAACGTTGAGGGCCATTATAAGGGTGCGGGAGGCGGGGGAGGGTCGATATATATTGTCACGGGTGGAAAAGAACTCGACAGATGTGAACTAAATATAAAAGATGAAACAACAAACAAAATTGTTAAAAAAAATACTAGCGTTGTGACAGCACAAATGCGGGCAGCGATTGGGCAGTGAACAAACAGCCAGCGAGATTGAGGCAGACCCGACAAGGTCCCGCGCCCCTCCTTATCTGGCGTGCGCCACCATCTCGAAAATTCGGCCTGGAAAGTCCGAGACTCGTGTGTTCGGGTGAAAATAAACAAGCACTTACGAGGGAAAAGAAGCAAGACGATATGAAAAACGCTACGTCCCGAGTAACAATAAACGCGAATAATCTAGAAGTCAGTGAGCGAGCTTTGCCTGCTCGGCCCTGCGCATGAAAATATTAGGACAAAAAACAACAACAGCAGATGACTTCCACGTTGCAAAGCAGCCCAGCGTTTCGGCGACACCAATAGATTTCATAAAGAAGGGATGTCGAGCTATCTGCTTTTTGTAAAATATCCGTTTTGACAGTGCAATCTTTATTTTTAATTTATCCTTACGATTACTTCGCGCTTGTATCTAGTGGGATTTCAAGATTTCAAACATCACCGCGCCGATAGTTTCGAACGCTACTAGATACCAAGCACACGATCGTACACTTGGTCGCTAAATTCACTCGGGAGGCATCCGAGTTAAATATGTCTCTAAAGATATTCTTTGCATATAGTGTTTTTTCTCTTCCTGAAGAATGCTATAACAGAAGCACAACAAAGTACTGGCGTCTGAACGGTATGAAACAAGAAACAAACATCGACCTTAAAAAGAAACTGATTAGTGCCAAATATGTTGAAATGTCATAAGAGCCAATCTAAGTTTCAGCTAAAAATGAAGTGACATCTTGAGGTCATTATTTATGGCGCCATCCAGCCCTCAAACCCCCCATAAAACGGGAGCTTGCGTACCCTCGGAGTCGCAAGCCCTCGGGAATCACGCGCCCTCGAAAGTCGCGCACCTTCGGGAGACGCGCGCACTCGGGAGTTGCGCGCCCTCGGGAGTCGCGCATCCTCGGAGATCATCCGCCCTAAGGAGTCGCGCGCCCTCAGGAGTCGCGCGCCCTCAGGAGTCGCGCGTCCTCGGAAGTTGCGCGGCCTCGGAGTCGCACGCCCTCGGGAACCACGCGCCCTCGGAAGTCGCGCGCCTTTGTGAGTCGCGCGCGCTGGGAGTCGCGCGCCCTCGAAAGTTGCGCGGCATCGGGAGTTGTGCGCCCTCTAGTCGCGCGCTCTCGGCAGTCGCGCACTCTCAAAAGACGCGCGCCCTCGGGAGTCGAGCGTCCTCGGGAGTCGCGCGCCCTCGGAAGTCGCGAACCCTCGGGAGTCGCGCGTCCTCGGGAGTCACACGCCCTCGAGAGTGGCGCACCCTCGGGAGTCGCGAGCCCTCGGAAGTCGCGCGCGCCCTCGGTAGTCGCGCGCTCGGGAGTCGAGCGCCCTCCGAAGTCACGCGTCGTCGGGAGTCGCACGCCCTCGGGAGTTGCGCACCCTCGAAAGTCTCGAGCCCTCGAAAGTCGCGCACCCTCGGAGTCGCACGCCTTGGGTATCACGCGCCCTCGGAAGTTGCGCGCTCAGGCGTCGCGCGCCCTCCGATGTCACGGCCCTCGGTAATCGTGCGCGCTCGGGTGTCGCACGCCCTCCGGAGTAACGCGCGCACGGAAGTCGCGTTCCCTCGGGTCGCCCGCCCTCGAATTTCAAGCACCCTCAGAAGTCGCGCGAACTCGAGAGACCCGCGCGCGGGGAAGTCGCATGCCCTGGAGAGTCACGCGCCCTCGGGAGTCAGGCGCGATCGAGAGTCGCACGCGCTCAAGAGTTATGGGCACTCGAGAGTCGCGCGCGCTCGAGAGTCGCCCGCGCTCGAGAGTCGCGCGCGCTCGAGAGTCGCGCGCGCACGAGAGTCGCGCGCCATCGGGAGTCGCGAACCCTCGGGAGTCGTACGCCCTCGGGAATCACGCACCCTCGCAAGTCGTGCTCCTTTGAGGGCGCACGTCCTCGAAAGTCGCGCACCCTCGGAGTCGCACGCCTTGGGGAGTCGCGCCGCGCTCGGGAGTCGCGCCGCGCTCGGGAGTCGCGCCGCGCTCGGGAGTCGCGCCGCGCTCGGGAGTCGCGCCGCGCTCGGGAGTCGCGCCGCGCTCGGGAGTCGCGCCGCGCTCGGGAGTCGCGCCGCGCTCGGGAGTCGCGCCGCGCTCGGGAGTCGCGCCGCGCTCGGGAGTCGCGCCGCGCTCGGGAGTCGCGCCGCGCTCGGGAGTCGCGCCGCGCTCGGGAGTCGCGCCGCGCTCGGGAGTCGCGCCGCGCTCGGGAGTCGCGCCGCGCTCGGGAGTCGCGCCGCGCTCGGGAGTCGCGCCGCGCTCGGGAGTCGCGCCGCGCTCGGGAGTCGCGCCGCGCTCGGGAGTCGCGCCGCGCTCGGGAGTCGCGCCGCGCTCGGGAGTCGCGCCGCGCTCGGGAGTCGCGCCGCGCTCGGGAGTCGCGCCGCGCTCGGGAGTCGCGCCGCGCTCGGGAGTCGCGCCGCGCTCGGGAGTCGCGCCGCGCTCGGGAGTCGCGCCGCGCTCGGGAGTCGCGCCGCGCTCGGGAGTCGCGCCGCGCTCGGGAGTCGCGCCGCGCTCGGGAGTCGCGCCGCGCTCGGGAGTCGCGCCGCGCTCGGGAGTCGCGCCGCGCTCGGGAGTCGCGCCGCGCTCGGGAGTCGCGCCGCGCTCGGGAGTCGCGCCGCGCTCGGGAGTCGCGCCGCGCTCGGGAGTCGCGCCGCGCTCGGGAGTCGCGCCGCGCTCGGGAGTCGCGCCGCGCTCGGGAGTCGCGCCGCGCTCGGGAGTCGCGCCGCGCTCGGGAGTCGCGCCGCGCTCGGGAGTCGCGCCGCGCTCGGGAGTCGCGCCGCGCTCGGGAGTCGCGCCGCGCTCGGGAGTCGCGCCGCGCTCGGGAGTCGCGCCGCGCTCGGGAGTCGCGCCGCGCTCGGGAGTCGCGCCGCGCTCGGGAGTCGCGCCGCGCTCGGGAGTCGCGCCGCGCTCGGGAGTCGCGCCGCGCTCGGGAGTCGCGCCGCGCTCGGGAGTCGCGCCGCGCTCGGGAGTCGCGCCGCGCTCGGGAGTCGCGCCGCGCTCGGGAGTCGCGCCGCGCTCGGGAGTCGCGCCGCGCTCGGGAGTCGCGCCGCGCTCGGGAGTCGCGCCGCGCTCGGGAGTCGCGCCGCGCTCGGGAGTCGCGCCGCGCTCGGGAGTCGCGCCGCGCTCGGGAGTCGCGCCGCGCTCGGGAGTCGCGCCGCGCTCGGGAGTCGCGCCGCGCTCGGGAGTCGCGCCGCGCTCGGGAGTCGCGCCGCGCTCGGGAGTCGCGCCGCGCTCGGGAGTCGCGCCGCGCTCGGGAGTCGCGCCGCGCTCGGGAGTCGCGCCGCGCTCGGGAGTCGCGGCGCTAACGTTTTGGTGCGCTAGGCTCTTGGCGCTCTAATGTTGCTGCGCGCGCGACTCGCAAATACGCTCGCAAGCGCACACTCGCGAGCAACGTCGCTAACGTTGCTCGCGCTCCGAGGTTGCAGTGACTAGCAGTGACCCTTCCAAGCACGCGCGCTCGTGCAGTGCGAGAATCGTTCAGGGGAACATGTTTTTGCAAGTAGCTTGAGCTTCACTATCACGTAAAGTGAAACATACGGGCTCTCAAAAGCTATGAAAGAACGCAATAAAATAATAAAGCTGAATGGGACACTGAGGCCGCGAGCTGTATAAATCTTTTTTTTATATTATTTTTTTTTTATTTTCTAGACGTTTTATTATCGCGCGTCTACAGATGCTGACAGATGATTGCATTCGAACGTGGCACGTGCAAAATCGAATGTTACAGCGCCGCCTGGATAGTGCTGCCAGCATAATATGGTCGCGCCTTGCGGACACGCTCGCGCCCTCTGCCCGAGAGTCACGCAGCGTCGAGCTCCGCCGGTCGCGCCGGTTACGCCAAGACGCCGGAGTACAGGGAGTATTCTCTGGCGGCCACAGCTGTGTGCGCGAATATTGAGCGCGTGCTAATGGCGAGCTTCCACAGTTCTTTTGCAACGTGCATTCCGCACCATCAAGAGTGCCAGTATTAGCAGCCTACTGATGTGAGCTCGTTCTGAGCACGCGCTCTAAACACGACCCACAAATATGGCGTCCAGTGAATACTCCCAATAGAGCGTCGGGTTTTCGCCGACGTGACGTCGCTGTGACGCGCTTGCATGCACGCACGCGTTACGCCGGAGTATAACAGAGCCTTAATAAAGATTTAACAAGCGGCAGAGTACAGTAGACTCATGCAATGCGTAAATAAACAAAAGAAATCGCGTTCTAGAAAGTAACTAACGTAAGTGCATTTCATAATCATGAAAGAATCTTTTTGAGGAGGGCAGAAAATTATTTTCCAGCCTTATATTATAGGTATTTCATTCCAAACTAAGCACCATAAAATTAGATCAGCCTTTGTCTATATCCATTATGGCATGGCGGTAAATTAAACAAATATTTCGCTGCAGCCCTTGTTTGTCTTCCTGAAGATCGACATAATTTCACATGCTGCACAAAGGGAAAACTGCATTCGTGTTGTGACGGACGTGAACCCGATCCGGTGGATGTATGTGACAGCAGGCTACAAGTTACAAGTTCACCTAATTTGCTGCTGTGTAGACGCTCCTGCGTGTGGAGTGGTGCAGAACCATGTCCTGTACTCTGGATATTTTTTGGATGCCCATGGTGTCTCATCAAAGGGAGCATGTGGCAGGTAGGCTGGCACTTTGTACATCTCCTCTATGTGACATACTATTGCAGTGCTGAGGGTTACTCCTTCTTATTGCTTTCCTCGAAGTACCACTTCTATGGTGTAAAACAATCAAGCGTTGAAGTTTTGCAACCAGCATGTCAGACCAAATTACATAAGTTCAAGCTATGTATGCTTTTTACATATGAGACGCTAGTACAGTGGGCATCAAAATGAGCTGGCTTGTAGGAACGCTGGCCGAAGTGACTAAACTTCCACATGAGGCATGCCTGTCACGATAAGCCATTGAGAGTGAGGCTAAAAGGACTGTCGCGAATTTGGGAACAGGGGAGGATGGTATTAATGATAAGCGACGCATCTAGGGCGACCTTGGTGCCACTCTTTGCACATCAGCCTGTTGGTTTTAATGCATCATCTTAGAGAGCAGCTCGGCAGCCATTGTTTTCCTTTTTTTGTTTAAGGTCACTTGAAACATTATGACATGGAATTAGCGCAGATGGCTCATAATTTTGGACTTTACTTATAGACAAACAAAATAAAGGGAACAAATCACAAAATACCCAAAAGATTAACAAATCAATATTTTTTACTCTTATTCTCATCACAAAAAGGCGACAATGAATGGCACGCGACTCTCTCAGATGATGCATCAAACACAACAGCCAGACATGTAAAGATTCTTGTTAAGTTCACCCTAGATTTGTCACTTAACTTAATTATTGCCATCCTCCCCCGCATATGAAATTGCGGAAGTCCCTCCAGTCCCGCACCCAATGACTTATCGCAGAAGTCCCTCCAGTCCCGCACCCAATGACCCGATGCGGGATTTTTGTCGCTCCGACCAGCGTTGCAACAAGCTAGCTCATTTTGACTAGCTTTACAACTCCAATTGCAACATGGTTTATAAATAGGGCTCCGTGTTTTCGGAGTTTATTTTTCATGATTTTCGGAAGGTGTTTTTCGGAGCTTATTTTGTAGCGAAAATTCGGTGTTTATCGAAGTTTATTTTTCATATATTCCCAATTCTCCGAAATTCGGAGATTAATTTCGCAGTGTTTCCTATTAAAAATAATAAATAATAACCGGATGCAAACGTATGCCAGGTAAAAAATAAAACGCGCTTGTATCAATTAAGATTTCTTCAGTTGAATTGGACGTTGGTGTCATTGGCAATACTAATTTGTTCCACGGCAAACGTCGCACACAAGTGTGGCTTCGATAAACGTCGATACCTTAAAATGAATAAACTGCCGGAGATAGCCGCAAGGAAGCTCGTAGTCATCCCATCAATCTATCCCGCGGCCACACGAGGTAAATGTAATAGAGAAGTTTCAACTGCCCTCTTCCCTATTCTATACAATCTCTATGGTCCATAGCTTTCACTGTTGCCCCCAGAAACATACCCTCTTCTTTCTCTAAATCCCAAATCCGATGGCCCAAACTGGAAACCAAAAGAGTGGCTTTTGCCGTGATACGAATGGTACGATGACCTGTTTCCCTGAACCAACCTTGACGAGACAAGCCGTAACACCCCCTTTTGACATCGGTCCGAGGCTTGAAATATAAATATGGAGTCATTTTCCCAGGACCATTGAGCCTGCGCTGCCGAAAACAAAAACAAAAATTTTTTTTTTTTTTCGGGGGGGGGGGGGGGGGGGGGGAGGGGGATGTTGGCATGGGCACATAACAATTCGGAGTTTATCGGATAAATCCGAATAGCCAAACATTTTACCGGCGGGTGTTTTTCGAATTTATCCGAAAACACGGAGCCCTGCCTATAAAGCAATTAAAAAGTTTACAGATTTTGGTTTTGTAAGGGTTATCGCCTTATCTAATATCTGTCAAGCATCGCAAACACAAAGTGAAAACTGCATTCACCTAACCCTAGCGTTTTTTTGTTTTACGAAATTTTGTTGGAAAGAAAAAGCAACGTTCTTTATCAGCAAGATTTGGAAAGCTAGAAGGAATGGAATGTTGCGTGTGTACCCGTGAAATTACATAGTGACAGCGAAACTTACGTCTTAGTAGTGTTATGTGTGAGTATTCTTGTGTCAGGCTTGTGCCAGTATTGTTGTGCAAAGTGCGTAAAATGAAAACTCAAAACGTTGCATCGTCCTTTATATGTCTATTCATTGTCGTTTTGACATCTCAAACAAAAAAAAAGTTTTGCCTTCGAGATACTTCTGTTAGGTGTGGAACAGTCAGTAATTGTGATGAGATTCGTGTGCTATTATTGTACCTTTTTATTTTTTGCAGGATGCATACGCTACCAGCAGGAGGAGGGTGAGCCGGCTGAGAGGACAGAGGAGTCCATATCAAGGGACGCAAAACTTGCGGAGCGATTCCGGGAGCCTACAGAAGGCGTCAAAGGAGCATCTGCGCTCGCTAGTGTGACCAACTTCGACCCCGTCTGGGATAATCCTGTTGATTGCATGCACTCTGTGCTACTCGGTGTCATGAGGAAGTTGACAGAGCTCCTTCTAGGATCGTGATATTTCGATCAGAGATTCTACATTGGTAAGCCTTTTCGTGAAGATAACTACTAGCGCATTTTCTTACTTTGGGTTTTTTCAGACAGTTTCTCCTCTGGGAGCGGCTCTTTTGAATTAGTGAATACAAAAAATATTGCTTGAAAGTAGCTACAATTAATCATGAGTACATGAGAGCAAACAGAAAATTGGGGGACAACGACTCAAAACATGCTGGGATTGGCAGCGGCAGCTGTTGCTTTCTTGGAACATGGGATTTAGAAGGAAGCATTTTCGGCCCATCTTTGCTGACTTCTCTGTGCCTTTTTCTCGTAAACGTGGTGACACACTTAGCACATACGCATTGCCTCTCATGCGTAATAAGCAGGGTCCTGTTCTTTTTGCTTTTCTCTTCTATGGGCCTCCGTCTATTCTGCTCAGTGCGGCGCGGTTGCCGTTCCCACTCCTCAGACTGGAAGCGAATCTCCCATTGTCTGGCCGTGTCTTGGGGGAGGGGGCTGGAAAACTGAGCGAGCACGCCCGGGTTTTTTGTGGACGTGCGGCAGAACATTCCAGCTGCCAGTGCAAAATGTGTCAAATGCTCGAGTCGTGGCTGAAGCGCATCATTGCATCCCCTGCCGACCTGGTTCCGAGGTCACAGAAACGTGATGCACGTGCTTATCAGCATGTGTGTTCTTCCACTTCTGTACATGCCCAAGCAGCACTTTGTGAATGGGCCATCACTGGCAAGTGTACTATGGCCAACCAAATTTTCGATGGGCGAGGCCTGGCCAAAGTGCTCGGCAGTAGCAGTGTTTTGGTCCTCGTCTGGTGGCTTGCCATTCACTTTATGCCAGTCGCTGGCCATTCACTTTAGGCAAGTTTCTGAACATTTACGTTTGGCCAGTGACTGACGATTCACCTTTGGCCAGTCACTGGCCATTCCTTTTTGGCCAGTGACTGGCCATTCACTTTAGGCCGGTGGCTGGCCATTCATATTTGGCCAGTGACTGGCCATTCACCTTTGGCCAGTGACTGGACATTTACCTTTGGCCAATCACTGGCCATTTCATTTTAGCCACTCATCGGCCATTCACTTCTGGCCAGTCACTTTTGACCAGCCACTGGTCTATTGATTTTGGCCAGCCACTGGCTAGTCGGTTTCGGCCAGCCAGTGGCCATTCACTTTTGACCAGCCTCTGGCCATTCCCGCTTGGCCAGCCACTAGCCATTGACTTCCGGCCACTCACTGGCCGAAAGTGGCTGTAGTTATACACTTCATATATATAGTTTATCACAGACTGCCACAAAATGTTGGTGTTCCTCAGAAAACTTTCAAAAATTTCGGGAGCTCAAATTTGAAAACTCAAACTTGAGCTCCCGACACATCAAGCGAAGCTGCTGCAAAGTTGCTCAATATTTATTGGACTTTTTGAGTACTGCGTCTTACGACGCTGGTTGCGACCACCACTCCAGTCGTCCTTGGTACTACCATTAAGTTTCCCCGGTAATGTAACAGTAAATAAAGAAGAAGTAACTTTAGGTAAAGGGACAGTGCAACGATGTTCAGTTAAAATATTTTTCACTTTACACAAGCTTGCTGGCACCAATGGGAAAGAGAAGCCTTGAGTACACAGTAAACGTCGTTAGGCAGGCACTAGAAATTGTTTGAACAAAAACCTGCTGCTGCTCTTCATGGCGATAATAAATATGTGTAAAGTTCCCCAATCACAACACCTATTTGTTCTGCAAATGATGCCACATCTGAGATTTAGTGCACTAAAGACAATCGAAAAGCATTCATTGCGAATCCTTCCATCATGTAATGTAAAAAAGACCAAAATAAACAGAAAGGACATATTTGTGGTGTCTCTAAATGCTGTCTTTCAATTTTTTTTTCATCCTCTTTCTCAGGTTTGCTTGGTAGTACTATTTTGTATTGCATCCCTCAGATATAAAACATCTGATTTAACTTCCAGTTTAGTATTCGTTGCATGACTCGCAATAATATTCAATATATATTTACAGTTTCACCTCAAGAAGGGGGTAGGTGTGATCGTGACAAGGCTGTGAAGAAAGAGCATAATGCAGCAAGTGAAGCCTACAATGGTTTTGAAGGAGACTCCACGATCTATATGGTCGCAAGCTGGGCTGCAGCTCGGAATGTAAACGGGGTGCTAGCGCCGAATAAGAGAGTTTCAGGCGAATTGCCTAAGCCAGCCCTGGCCCCAGAAAAGGTTGACGTTGTCGAGGGTGAGCTTGTAAGTCAATAACAAACGTTATCAAGTGTATACCATTTTGCTATTTCACTTGCAGCTACTTTGTCCTACTGGAATAATTACAAGGTTAATGTCACACCAGTACCGTTTAACCTGAAAGATATCTTGACAGAAAGAATGCAAGATTCAGCCAAGGCAGACAGGCCGCGGCTGAGCCAGCAGAACTGTGTAAATCACTGATGAGTGATGCAATGAATTTTGACACTAAGCAGATGCAGTTTGCTATT